TGGTGAAACTGGCCATGAAATTATTCAGTAAAAATGTGAACTCTTGTACCACAAGAGATGGTATAACTTGAAGTGTATCCCCCTGGCTTGTGAAGGGCCATCTACTGTGCCATGCTTTACAGCATGGGCTTGACTCTGACTCACTCTGACGATGCATCAAGTGCATCATCTGCTCCAGTGCTTCATAATACCTGTAAGGCTACTTCTGCCTGGGATGGTCTGCGGCTGGTGAAAACACCCGTCCAGTATCCCAGACAGCCAGCTGAAGTGGCACACAGGTACCATGTCCAGCTTTAAATGAATGGTGCATTTAACTTTGGCATTAAAATGCTATAGCAAATATGAATAATTGCAGAGTGTGGTTTTGGGTGATTCCAGGCCAAAAATGTGTAGGGACAATAATTTGTATGGCTATTTTCAACCAGAAAAAGTGAAATAAACTGAAACATAACTTGATTTAACACAACCTGACCTAAGGACTAAGGTCCTAACCATAAATCGCAATTAAACAAATTGCGTTTAAATGTGGTTAATAGCAATGTGCCACCGAAAAGAGTGATAACGATACCCAAAAAACAGCATACAAACCGCTTACAATACGAAATATTGGACGGTAAACTTTAGGTAATCCGCGCCACTTTCGCCTACTGCAGCACCAAATTTTGTGCTGCAGGAAAACAAAGTATGCTTCAGTAGGTGACGTCACACAGGCGGTGACGCAGTGCTGTGGGCGGGACTAACGGGCGACGCAGTCCTCACTGCGCATGCATGCTGCAGCATATTTCATTTTAGCTGCGCAGCCGAACAGCCCTATGGACCTATCTGCTGTCTTTGCACGACACTCTGACTGCTTTGGCTCACCCTGAGCTCTTGCTAGTTAGTTTGAGTCGTTTGTAAGTTTGGCATATCATCTAGTTCAAGTTTACATGATAAAGCTGACATTAAATAAAGGCTACAATGACAAGATATATCTTAATATCACATTTAAATATGAAGTTGAAAAATAACAGAATCAGGCTTACCTAATTGAATGGAGTGCTTCCAGTGGCGAAAAAGGCAGGACACCAAGACACAGCTGTAGGTATTCTGATTCTGTATACCCTTTAATTCACGACAAAAAAGCTACGTCAATTCTTATCAAGCACATGAGACGACTACGAAAAATATTACGGAAATTCAATAATCGCTTGCAACAACCCAACAGCACATCACTTGTAAACTCCTGAAACACGCTTCTTCTCTCTCTCTTTTGACTTCGCGAGCATTGAAAAGTAAACCACCACCCTGTTCAAGGTTTTCACTAATGCTCTTCTGCAAAAAGTATATGGACACATTTGTGATGGATATGGTAGCATTACGTCAATGATAACGAAGGTTTTACTGTAAAAGTAAAAAATAAATAAATGACGCACAAATTTTCCACTTTTCATGCTTCCCTTGATAACTAAAAGACAATTGCTAATTTGCTATTGAGTGATCCTAAAATTGTACATCTCAAAATTTGCCTAATTGCCTTACCTGACCTAGGCTATGATCGCCTAGAAGGTCAGGTAAGACAATTAGGCAAATTTTGAGATGTAGATAGGTACAATTTTAGGAATTAGGATCTATTTAATTGAATCACTTGGATTGGCTGGACCTGGAGGCTCGCACTCGTCGAGCCATTGACTGCGCCTGTTTGGCTTACTTTAAGGATACGCTTCACCGAGCTGCTGACCGAAAAGATCGATTCCTTGTCGTTTCGATGTGCAGCGGCGCGGGTGGCGGGGCGCAGTCCAGTACCTGGCTCCCTTCACTCCCCCACCAGACGCCGTGACGGCCGGACGGTCCATCCTAGTCCACATTAGATCTCCTCGGTCCAAAGACGGTCTAGATCGGTCCACCTAGGTCCACCTCAGTCCACACACGGTCCACCTGGGCTCAAACGGTTTATCTCGATCTCGTCCTTATCCATCCACAGCGGTCCACGTACAATCCACCTCGGTCCAAACGGTCCACACAGTCCGATCAATCTGCCCGGGTCCAGGCAGTCCATCTCGATAAACCTTGATCAGGATATCATCTACAATACGTCAGTCCACAAATTGTCCATATATTATCCACATCGGTCCACATATCGTCCACATCGGTCCACCCTCCACTATCCCCGATCCTCCTCGGCACCATGTTCTTACACACCGCCCTTTTGACGCTCCTGACGGCTGTGGCGGCCTCTGCTGCCAGCTGGATCCAGTTCGGTCGCTCCAACCGCACCCAAAGCCTGGCGGGCAGTGTGGAGGTGACAGCCCCCTCGGCTGTCGGCTGCGCCCTTCGCTGCTCACTCAACTGGACGCTGCCCTGTGGTGGGTTTACCTTTCGACCTGGAGGCACATGTGTGCTTCACGTGGGTACTGCCCAGGGCAGGTGTATCAGGAGTGCAGAAAGTCCGCCCATGGAGACTGCGGCGGGGGAGGAGGGCGAGACGGGGCACGTCATCCTGGTCAATTCGGCCTGCTCAGGTATGTAGTGAGGTAGGTGGAGACTGGAGAGGGAGGGAGGGAGAGAGAGAGAGAGAGAGAGAGAGAGAGAGAGAGAGAGAGAGAGAGAGAGAGAGAGAGAGAGAGAGAGAGAGAGAGAGAGAGAGAGAGAGAGAGAGAGAGAGAGAGAAAGTGCACAGGACGCTGGTATCCGTAGATGTACGTACCTGTATAGTGTTGGGCGGTCTGATCAGGACGGTAACTTTTCTTAGTCCCTGATGTGATCTTTAGTGACCTCTCAGATCGGCTGACGGTATGTTCATGGATGAAGGAATACCATGGATTCTTTTCGACCATGGTATGTCGATATATCGGGGACAACAGCTCTGACGCCCAGGCAGCGCAGTCAGAGGCAGTGCAAATCGAGGGACCATAACAAGGTATAAGTCGGCATCTACATTATACGTACAGTGGGTCTATTTAAGATCTCCAGAGCCACCACGTGGCGCTACGGTCGGGGTATGGCGAGTCCAAATCCCGAGGGAAGTGAGGTCACCGGTCATTGTGGGGGAAGGAGGGAGGGGGAGTGACGCGGTATCACGGCGCATGGGGCGTGCGTAGCGCCGGGAGTGGGCCGCCCAGGGCCGCCCGCCACTGCACCGAGGCTGAGGGGAGGGGATGATGGTTGCGGGTGCGTTCACCCCGGTATGGTGGTATCCTGTTCATGTGGAACCGGCAAGAATGCGACTGAAGGGAATCATCATCTCAAACAAACGGGCAAGCCAGAGGCAGCGTCAGTTCCAGCCAAAATGTTGAACAATGATAATTGAAATCTAGGACGTATTCATAGCATGCAACTATTCAGTCGATAGTTGCATGATGCTTTTCATGATGCATGATGAGGCTTTTCTAAACTGTTATTTGAGTTAGATATTTTTCATTTGGCACGTTCAGTTTTGGTGGGTTTTATCGGGTCGAAAAGAAGCAGAAAAGAAAAGAAAAAAGTTGAAATGGCTCCAGACAAATGACCAAAAAATTTTTCTTAAAAAATGAATCTTAGCATAACATTTATAGCGATAATTTTGACATTTGGAAAGGATATTGGGGAAAGATATTGGGGAAAGATGTCATCGTGCTTAGCTAGGTTGCAGTAGAAGCCGGAAAGGTTTTGGTTCGTGTCTAGATAAAACCAGACCCGGCTGTGGGGCTCGAACTCACGACATCGCATTCAGCTCACAGGTTACCCAGCCTCAACGCTACGAGCACCTATCGCCCTGCGCAGCTTGCTCAGTGTTTCGGCTAAAGTTCGGCCAAAGTGTCTGACGTCTGTCAATGTCACGAGGCGAAACCCCAAGGTAAATGTCCGTCCCGGTAGCTCGGTCGGTAGAGCGTTGGACTCCATGTGCCATGTGGTGAGAGCGCACGTCCCGGTTGCAAAAGTCCGGGTTCGAAACGTGACGTGTGCTTGACGTTTTTGAGCCTCCTGACGGGTATGGTTGTGGTTGGTTGCAGGCCGCTGCCAGGCGAAGTCAGTGAGGGGACCGGTCGTGCGCGGCTATGTGCGCACGTTAAAATTTGGACTCTAAATTCTGCCATAGACCAGGAATTGCTTGATCGGAGGGTAGAGAGTAGGGTCAACGCAACAAGCTCAGCTTAGCGGGGACTTTGTTCTTGTGATTCCTTTCTTTCAAAAGGTTCGGGCCAAATTTATGTTAAAAAAAGGCAAGCCGAACCTGGTTGGGCCGGGTTGAACCCGGTTGGACCGGTGTCTTACATCACGCAACCATGCAGTCAGACAAAACAGAGGCTAATATCGGGTTAAATATTTTTATTAACTTATCTTATTGTTTTTTAGCTTACACGTATGATAACTTTTAGCTTTTTTTAAACTCCAGACTTCATGCACAAAAATGTGGCATTCGTCCACTTTTCCTAATCTTCTCTTAGCGACTTGATTTGACCTTAAAAGCCCATCTTACCAGCAAAAAAAAAAAATCACCTGCGTGATAATTATTTGCCGAAGGGCGCTCTACGCATGAAACGCCAGCCGGTCAAAAAACTGGCGAACGATACGATCTTTCTATTGCTTCAATTATATTCAATGAAAATTTCAGGAGACATAAATAATCTTAATCCTTATAGCTGCTGGGCGCCCAGAGCATTCGCTAGCATTCCATTGCCAGCTGCATTACCAACGTCACATTTGCTACTTTGGGTTCACCATAGTTGACAGTAGATGAGCCGGCCACAGCAAACCCATGCCTCATTATCCTTTCCTTCCAAGCAGCCAACTGCGAAGCTAACCGGCCGCTCGGCCCACCACCGCGATATGGAACAACACTGGAGTGCGCCATTTGCCTGCGGCAGTGCCCCACCGCGCCGGGGCTGTTTGACAGGTCACCCGCACCGTGACCTCGCCACCCCCCCCCCCGCCCCATCGGGCCCAGCTCGGTAGTGACCTCTCCTTGAATCTCACATGGACTCGACTCATGCTCAACGCCATCTACTTTCGTCTGGAGATCCTTACTAGATCCACTGTACACTAATTGCATTGCATAGTTGTATCGATAGACGGTATGCTATTTGACTATTTATCTATTTTCTGCGATAGTACTGCCGACATTCAGCAGCGGATTGATTGTGGATACCGACAGCGACTTCTCTGGAGAATTCTCCATGGTGGACTGCAACCATCGCAACTCAGACCACTACAACAACATGATGGTCGGCATTCAGGATAACGAGGGCTTTGTGGTAAGAAATAACGACTTCTGCATATGATTGCACCCGAACGTTATTTCACTAATATTCGTTTCTGGCATCCGAATTCCGAAGTGTTGTTTCTGAGATCGAATGCTCCTGAATCGGCGATCCAAGCGAGAGAGCGAAGCGTTGAATAACGATAAGAACATGCATCTATGAATAGATATAACTGCCTACGAATTAGCAATGGCACATAATGGTACTCGTCATGAAGGCTCCATGGGATGGTCCCCTGTCGCTCCTGTTACAATGTCTGTCGTCATTGCGGCTTACGTTACGGCTAATGCTAGTTGTCATTACGGTTATGGTCGATTTTTAAGCCTGTCTTGACGCCTTAAAGCGCTTTAATGAAAAGCACATGGGTCATGTGAAGCTGCAATGTCTTCAAGACTGGCCAGCGGAATATATCATCTTCTCTTTATTTTGATTTTTGATCTTTTGTTCATTCCCAGGATCATTCCTACTGTTCGTATCGCGCCGTACATATTTAGCTGTGCACGGAAAGCGATCCGACAAGCTTAAAAATCCGACAAGTATTATAATAATCCGAGTCCGACTATGTATATTGTATAAACTATAAAGGCCGGCGGACGAAATAGCGTAGGTATGTGGCTACCGCCAATAACCTTGATTGGGTTTCGGCAGGATCTCGACACCATAAAGTGCGCGTCCTTCGCCAACATTATGGTTGGACCGGACCATGTTGTCACCATTACAGCGCAGACGGTAAGAGTAAAGAAATACCGTCAGCAACCTTTTTTACACTGCTGAGGGCGTATGAAGGAGGTGGCGACTGGCGAGTGACATTAAGTTATATGTTCCGAATAATAGATCGTCTCATTTTTGCATATTCATGCGATCCAGAAAAGCGGCCTCGGACGCTGCGAGGAGTATGCCCCCGAAAGATTCTTCAAATTCCAAGAAAAAAACTTATCGGATTTTCTTTCCTTAATACACTCGCTTTGAAACTTGTTTAGTATTCGTTCATTTTTAAACAAAACAAAAAAATGGCAAATTTTCATCGATTTCGGGCGCTGTGAGAGGGGCATTTGCCCGATGCCGCCCGTTGGATCTGCCAAGTGCATTCATGCTTTAACTATTATAGTAAGAATAATAATGTCATTCTCATCTAACCATAAATTCCAAGTTAAATCAAAACAGCTTTTCAGAAGCTTCCCGCATTGCGTCTTCGGCGCTTTTGGGGATTTATTTGCCAGCAGACATTTTACAAACAAAAGTGTCACTGTGTTTGCACCTCGCCCGTCATCCCCCATTTCTCAGGATGTGTTCCAAAACTGCGGCGCCAACCAAGTGATCACGGGGCTCGGCTCGTCGACCTACTACACACAAGACGTCATCCGAATGACGTGTAGCGACGTCAGCGGTGCCACTGTATCTGACAACTGCACTGACTTGACCATCACGGAGGAGATGCAGAGCGGCGAGCTGGACCCTCAGCTCACGTAAGTGCGCAGAGAGCGGATGGAAATCTCCTTCCCAGGCATAGGCGGCGGAACGAGCTGGGGGCACCGGGGCACCGTGCCCCCCTTTAATTTTGGCATTTTAACATTAGCCCTATGAGTGTTGCATGGTAATTGGTAAGATCAGGACCCAAAGTCGGCAGTGCCCGCCCCCCCCCCTTAATTGAAGGTGTTCCGCCGCCACTGTTCCCAGGAGAAATATCAAATACTCCATGCTTGGGCTCCCTGGGAAAACGCCCTGTCCCCAGAGTTACACTGGAAAAAATGATCCGCCGGTGGATATCTTATCGGTGGATAAAACTAAATCTTACAAGAGTATGAGAAATCCGTTAGTTTGCAACGACCCTAGGGTCGTTGCAAACTAAATGACTGTCCAGGGAGTTTGCAACGACCCTAGGGTCACTACAAACTAACTGGTTGTCTAGGGAGTTTGCAACGACCCTATCTGGTTACAGGTGGCCCGTCCAGTGCCCCGATGGGACTCCTCGTATGGGCGCCATGGTGGGCATCAACTTTCGAGACGACCATACACCAAAGTGGACCGGCATCAGGTGCTGCTACCTGGTGTAGCCGTCGGTGCTACCTAGTGCTAACTGCTACCTGGTGTAGCCGTCGGTGCTACCTAGTGCTAACTGCTACCTGGTGTAGCCGTCAGTGCTACCTAGTGCTAACTGCTGCCTGGTGTAGGTAAAAGTTTTTCACCAAGTGCTTACAGCTACGTGACAGCTGTTAGTGTTGATGCTACTATATAGTACCTACTGCTACCTGGTGTAGCTGCCGGTGTTACCAGTGCTGCTACCTGGTGTAGATAGACGTTTGTGACACCTTAGTGCTGCTAACTGCCACCTGGTGTTGATAGAAGTTTGTGTTACCTTAATGCTAACTGCCACCTGGTGTAGCCGTTTGAGCTACCAGTACTGCTACCTAGTGTAGCCGGTGATGCTACCTAAGTGCTGCACTACCTGGTATAGCCATCTGCGCTACACGGTGCATCCGTTAGTGCTATCAATAGCTAACTGCTATAACGAGTAGCTGTTTCTGTCTAATTTTGTTTCACATTTGATACGAGAATCTACTATAGCACTTCTTACATTGGCCGAGTGGAGATGATAAATCGCACTCATATAATTAATTCATTGAAGGCTTTCAAATGTGGGCTTTCAAATAAAAAAAAAACACCTAAGATTGAAGGCTTTCACATATGTGGGATCATACACAACGCACAATGGCACATAACACGTCCTGTCGTAAGCATTATACGTGTGACCGTACCTACATGCTTGGACCGAGCTTATCGCACGAAATGCCGTCTCGTGCAATTTCCTTGCGGGACGTTATGCCTATCTATGTACGTCGCTCAGATTTACTGATATGCGTCTAACAGCTTTATATGATATGCGTGTTTACAGCGAGATAGCTAGGCCTTCTTTAAGAAATGCAGCTATTTGTTCTACAAATGGTAGATGATCTTTGTGTATGTAGACGTGGATTTATCGGGCATTTAGCCGGTACTTTTTATGGCTGATGCCGTGTCTCATATTTTATCATTTAAGTCATATTTTATTTGTTATGTTTCTACCTTTGGTCCAGGCTGATGCCCAATTGTAACTGGCCTTGTTACCGTTCAATAAAATGTCCCCGCATTCATACTCTTTTGTCGTGAATATACATATGGGAGTGACACATGTGACAGATTATCGATGCCTGAGCGATCACAATGCCCCCAAGGAGGCCATTGTCCCAAACCACACCGATCGGTGATCCGTGATCCGTGTGTTTTCTACCGTGTGGTCATTTCCGAACAGACGTCCGTGGACCATGTGACCGTGGCGTCGGCCCCGTGTCCTATATAATTACCGTCCCGAGGCGGTGTAGGGTAACGGTGAATCGGTGGGCTGCGGCCGTCCGGTGTAGCGGGGCAGGACCAGTTCTGAGCGGCTGGTCGGTCGCACGTCCGGTGTTGGGGCAGGACCAGTCCTGAGCGACTGGTCGGTCGGGCGCAGTATTTACCAGCGCGAGCGGGATGGGTGAAGACAAGGCGGTCACTCCGCTGCTGCCCCTGACTGGACGGGTGAGTACTGAGTATATACGTGCAGTGTGCACTGCTGCCCCTACATATACGGGTGAATCTGAGTTTGCATGTGCAGTAGAGATGCTAATCGGATACCAACTTTTTGGTATTCCGATTCCAAGTGACTACATACAGTGTCCGACACTGCCCAAGACTGTACGGACTAGTTATCCACTGCTGTCAATGATACATCGCCTGTTCACGTGTGTGTGTTTTTTTTTTTACAAATGCATGTATAGATATGTTTTTGTATATGTAGGTATGCATTAGGTATATATGTCGCAGGCATCATGTGATATACACACACAGCACTAGCCGCTTTAGCAGCATAGGTAAAAACTAAAAACTGTTTACTTCGGAAAATGCCACCAGGATGATGGAGGGAAAGATACTGAAAGTTTCGTGCTCTATCGGCTATCCCTAAGCGCTCGCCGCTCGGGAGCTATCATATACATTATACAGGTATTCGACGGGGCATCCCCCGGGCCAGCGAGGGTTAACCCTATTAGTGGCAGGCTCCTGGCTACCCCTATTAGTGGCAGGGGGGCTGTTTACGACCCCCCCCCCCCGATATCTCGAGATCTAACGGGCCGATTTTCAAAATTCAAAGGGCATTCGATTTCGCTCAACGTGATCTACATTTCTAAAAAAATAAAAATTAAAAAATGTCAATAGGGGGGTAGAGGGGGGTAAAAACGGGCAAATTGCAGATACATTTTAGACTGTTTATCACGGCCAGGTTTCTGAACCAATCTTAACGCAACTTTTGCCGATCGATAGAGAATGAACCAGGAATTCACATGGATCCTAAAAATATGCATTTTCAAAGATCATAGGCGGATACAGATGTAATTACTAATTATTCCCCAATATTCAGCACCTGGACGCGCCTATGATTTTAGGGGAAAACATCGCTTGTAAGTGTTCACAAATACATGGTATGGTGCATTTGATTGCTTTCTGGCAATGTAACTACTACGAAACCGCTCATCAAATGGTACTGTACATTTCAGTATGACCCCCCCCCCCCCCTTTTGGACGCCTGGATCCGCCTATTATAGCAAAAACGTGTCAAAAGAGGATGCACAATAACTTTGTATATGTTATCACATGATACCTTTCATTCACTGTTCGTAAAACTGGTGCATACAGTTTTAATACATCAGCATCGTGATCTTCGCCCAAATGACTCGCTTCACGAATAGGACCTCCCAATTCCCAGTGCTCTGGAGCCGCCCCTGGTAAATTTATGAACTTGAAATTTTCAGGGAATGTGCCCAATTTAGTTTTAGGAAAAGTCAGAAAATTTCAGCATCGTAGCTTCAGCGGTTTCGGAGATATTCCCGAAAAACCTCAGGGGTGGATGAAAACAACCCCCTGCCCCCCCCCCCTGCCACTAATAGGGTTAAATCGCGGCGCTGTGGGCGTGTGCTGTGTGTGCTGTGTGTGTTCTGTATGTGGCTGCAGTACGGGGACTGGGTGTGTGTGACGGCGCGCACAGAGTGTCCGCCCCGCGGTGTCGGCACTGGCTGTCTGCCTGGCGCTGGTCATCGTGACGGCCAGCCTGCTCTACGTCCTGCTGGCGGCGGTCAGCAGTGTCAGCACCACCTGGACGGCTCAGCAGCAGCTCATCAACGGTGAGCAGACAGCACTCGCAGCCAGCGGGCTCTCATGAATGGATTCGCTCGTGTTCGAGTCGTAGAAAGGTCAATCTCCAAGCTTCACACATAAAGGTCAATTTCTATCGAGTATTGTGAGGTGAATTGCAGGATATTGGGAAGCAGCAAACTAAATTCTTACCGATCAATACCATGGAACATGACCAAATATCCAAAGACCACTATATATCTAATTCTATATAAAGTGGTCTATGATTTAACCCTCACCGGCCGAAGGGGTGCCACCACGCGGTTGTTTGCAGCAATTGCTAGAAACATGCTGGCAAAAGACAGCATGTTCTGAGTTGGCACCTTTGATTCAAGCCGGATCTTGTGACTTGTGACGGATCTTTTTTCAAAAAGTTTTCGATTTGCAAAAACCGGAATATATGTGATAGAACGTACTCTGGTGAACTACACTAGCAATTTTCAGTCCAATGCCTTCAAAAATAGCCAAGCTATTTGCATTATTGTCAAAATTTTACAATTACATATTTTACAAATCCATTTTTCAGTACGTTTTTGACGCCGTACAGCAATATAAATGGCACCATCGTGTTCCTGAGCTCAAAGTGCATCTGATAGGCACCTTTTTTGTTGAAAATTTTCATTTACAAAATTTGATCTTTTCTGACCTGGAAGCAGGGTTGTATACGACTCAATCCATAGGCGTCGCCAGAGATTTTCGGTTGGGGGGGCAAAATCAACTTTTGTGTTAAAACTTGCCTTTCCCAAGTCTTTACTCACTCGTTTTACATATCATTCGACGCGCAATGGTGCGAGGAATCCGATGGTGACAAAGGTTTCCTTCTAGCTATAACATGTAATTTAAAAAAAAAAACGAAATTTTGAAATTTAATGACAAAAACGACTGGTAGAATTATAGTATATAGTGGCTGCGATTGCCGACGCACTGCAGAGGGCCCCTGTGCAGACGCTCGACGCTCATGATCATTACCCAAAAAAAAGGTGAAAAACGCTCCATTTAATCGGATCACCCTGCTAAAACCTCCATTCACGCATGCATGCAGACTGCAGAGGCTTTGCGTGAAATGCATAGGACTTATCCCAGCCGCCGATCGTAGCTAAGTTGGGCATTCGGCGGAGAGTGAGTGTCGGAAGTGTGAATCGGAAGTAATTCATCTTTGCTCCAGTGAGAGGAAGTGCTTCGTTCACTCGAGTGTGAACAAAAGTTTCTCGTTTTTCGTGTGAAGGGAAGCGCTGCAAACGCGAACAAAAACTGTTAAACGGAACAAAAAATTACGCACGGCATAGCGGCAAGGGATCCCTTAAGGCCGGGGGGATCCAGGGCGTCGCAAGTCCATCTACGACACGTCGCAAGTTACGACACATATGCCGTCGCAACTCGCAAGTTGTGTCGTAGCGGAAAAGGAGGGATGTTGAGGAAAGAGGGGTTTGTCGGAGGATACGACAGAACGTAGCTGCGACGAGGTTTAAATACCCGCTTTACTCGAGAATTTAAAAGGCTACACGATCAGCTGATCCCGTAGTAAACGTCAGTAAGGTCGAAAACTCTATCACGCATAAAGGAACATTCGCCTTTCTGGTTTGCGAGCTTATGAGACAGCAAGGTCAAGCATGTTCTCTGATTCTGAAGCTTTGTATTAACTGGGTGACTTGTGGTTGCTAACGCTCACGTGATTTGCCATAAAATTTGGGATCGATCACAGGAGATTCGTGGCTATAGGGCATCTAGAATCGATGCTATAGAAGAAATGAGTTCCGAGAGTTTGAGGTCACAGAGAGGTAAGAAATTTGTAGATGGAGGTCACAATTGGAGGTTACAGAGGTCATCTGGGACACGTCAGGTCACAGATGTCAACTTGGGGTCATCACAGAGCTCAATTGGAGACCACGGAGGTAATCTGAGAAGTGAGACACGTCAGGTCACAGAGGGCAACTTGGGGGCACGTCAGGTCACAGAGGTCAACCTAGGGTCATCACAGAGCTCAATTGGAGGTCACGGAGGTCATCTGGGACACATCAAGTCACAGAGGTCAACTTGGGGTCATCACAGAGCTCAATTGAAGGTCATATGGGCCATCTGGGACACGTCAGGTCACAGAGGTCAGCTGGGTGCCATCAGAGAGGTCACTTAGAGGTCACAGAGGTCATATGGGACACGTCAGGTCACAGAGGTCAACTAAAGGTCATCAGAGAGCTCAATTGGAGGTCATCTGGGACACGTCAGGTCACAGAGGTCAGCTTAGAGTCATTAGAGAGCTCAATTGGAGGTCACGGAGGTCATCTGGGACACGTCAGGTAACAGAGGTCAACTTGGGGTCATCACAGAGCTCTATTGGAGGTCATGAGGGTCATCTGGGACACGTCAGGTCACAGAGGTTAGCTTGGGGTCATCATAGAGGTCACTTAGAGGTTACAGAGGTCATATGGGACACGCCAGGTCACAGAGGTCAAGTTGGGGTCATCACATGAGCTCAAATGGAGGTCATCTGGGACACGTCAGGTCACAGAGGTCAGCTTAGAGTCATCAGAGAGCTCAATTGGAGGTCACGGAGGTCATCTGGGACACGTCAGGTCACAAAGGTCATGTTGGGGTCATCACATAGCTCTATTGGAGGTCATGGGGTCATCTGGGACACGTCAGGTCACAGAGGTCAGCTTGGAGTCATCAGAGAGCTCAAAAGGATGTCACGGAGGTCATCTGGGACAGGTCAGGTCAAAAAAGGTCAACTTGGGGTCATCACAGAGCTCATTGGAGGTCATCGAGGTCAGCTGGGACACGTCGTTTTTGGAATTGGGAGAATATTTTGGGGGATGCCCCTTGCAACGTCCAAGACCGCCTTTCTGGATTCGCCAGTAGTTGCTGGGATGGTGTTAGGCTACTTCATATCCCGGAATACCCAATAAATGTGAATATAACATATTATGCAC